TGGGCACCTCATGAAAAGGCAGGATTCTCTGGGAAAAGAGGATCATGCTGGGAAAGACGGAAGGCAACAGGAAAAGAGGAAGACCGAAAGGCGACTTGACGGTACATAACAAGAACAACCATTCTTAGCAGGGATGTGTTTTATAGGCATAAAGAGGAATACCGAAAGGCGACTTGACGGTCCATAACAAGAACAACAATTCTTAGCAGGGATGTGTTTTATAGGCATTCTTCATTTATGTGAAATTTTATGACTCCCTACTTTCTCAGCTGTTCACCTGAGAGATTTATACTTCATTTTAGGCACCCTGCCCCTGATTTCAGTGGAGAATAATTCATGAAACAGTATGTAGAAACAAGTACCGAAAGGCGACTTGACGGTCCATAACAAGAACAACAATTCTTAGCAGGGATGTGTTTTATAGGCATTCTTCATTTATGTGAAATTTTATGACTCCCTACTTTCTCAGCTGTTCACCTGAGAGATTTATACTTCATTTTAGGCACCCTGCCCCTGATTTCAGTGGAGAATAATTCATGAAACAGTATGTAGAAACAAGGATGTACTGTAAGTGCCTGTACACTCAAAATGTTAAAATCCAGAACAATAAAACCAGTATTAAAAGCTAAAACAGGTATAGTTTAAAATGGCTTGCTAAAACATGCTCTTAATGAAGAGAGCAAAGATATAATGGCCTTTAACGGGCCTTGCTGAAATAAAGGTGGTGCCGAGAAAACCTCAACAGTAAGAAGGAATTCCAGTGATGGGTGAAAACCTCCCTGCTTGGCAATGTTATTTTCCCCCAGACCACGTCTCCCAGAATCCCCCAGCCAAGAGACGTTTTCTGGGCATGCCATTCGAACAAGAAATCCGACTCCTGTTACCAGGTATCCCCACCAGAGGGCAAACCGACATTACAGAGTTTTCGCAGGGCTGGACATAAATAAGGCGGTTGGCCGTTTGCTTAAGTAGACGTTGCGAAAACAATTTCTGGACCTCAGACGTTTTGAGGAGCAAAGATGTTGTCAATAGACCACATGGAGCCCCAAACGTGGCACCCTAGCTTAGTAGTATGGTCTGCTTTTGTCTGCAGAAGGTTCCAAATCTGATCCATCCACAGCAGGTCCTGGAGAGCCACCCCTTTCATCACGCAAAGCTAGATGGTTGGGCGCATGGGCTTTGGGATCAGAGAGATTTTTCCACCTACAGGAGGGTCCACCAGCCACCATCTAGCCCTGCGTGATGGAAAGGGTGGCTCTCCAAGGTTGCAGAGAAGGTTTTTATCCACCACAGGACATATGGCTGATGGATCAGATTTGGAACCTTCTGCTCAGTGGGCAACAAGAGGACCAGAACCCTCGCTTTTGTTCCTCACCATATCTCACAGCTGGAACGGACCCCTATGGAGCATCCAGTCCAGCACCTGTCAAAGAGGCATGGGGTGGGGTGGGGATTGAACTTCCAACCTCTGGCTCCCCAATCGAAGGCCTAAACCACTGAGCTACCCCTGCAGTTGTTTTAAAAATCTAGGTTTTGGGGCTGGGGGATAGATTAGGGATGAGAGTTTTGCATTGACCTGAATGGGGGAAAATATGAAAAAGGTCCTTTCGTTTGTTTTCAGATTCTTTAGTAGAACCCTCTCCTCACCTAAAAAACCCTGAAATGGAAGAAATACTAAATTTAGTTAGTTAGTTGGTTAGTTAGTTAGTTAGTTAGTTAGTTAGTTCGTTCGTTCGTTCGTTCGTTCGTTCGTTCGTTCGTTCGTTCTATAGGCCACCTTTCTCCCAATAAAGGGGAAACCTGATTTTTTTTTTAAAAAAATGCTTATTTCTCTTAAATATGATTTTAATATTGATTCTTCTTCAACATTTTAAATATAATATTTGTTTAAATCTTTTTAATACGTATGCTTGCTGCTGGTAGTTTTTAAATAATGTGTTTTTAATGATGCATACCACCTTGGGTCCTTTTTTAAGGTGGGGTAAAAATATTTTAAATAAATATCCCACCCCTCCCTTTTTTTTAACTAGGCTAGATGATGACATGCATTGGGGGAGGGGGAGGCTGCATATCTCAAAGTCTTTAGGTGGAACTGCGTTTCATGGGAAGATTTTGTTGCTGTGGGGAAGGGGAAGTAAAGCAAAAAGTGAAAAAGCAACGCACGTTGCTTCTATACTGTCCCATAGCTCTTAAACCACTTTCTGGGTGGTTTATAATTTAATTCTGCAGGCTACACATTCCACACACAGACACACCCCAGCAAGCTGGGTGCTCAGTTTACTGACCTCAGAAGGATGGAAGGCTGAGTGAACCTCGAGCCAGCTACCTGGGATTGAACCCCTGGTCGTGAGCAGAATTTTAGTTGCAGTACAGCAGTTTGATTACAGTGGTGCCTCACTAGACAGTTACCCTGCATGACAGGCTTTTCGCTAGACATTGACTTTTTGCGATTGCTATAGCGATTCGCAAAACAGTGATTCCTATGGGGGAATTTCTCTGGACAATGTTTCGTCCTTGCTTCGCAAACCAATTTTCGCTAGATGACCATTCTGAGAGCTCCCTCCGTGCTCGCAAAGCAGCTTTCCTATGGCCGATCTTCTCTAGACAGTGACGATTCTTCCCCATTGGAATGCATTATACAGGTTTCAATGCATCCCAATGGGGAAATGCTTTTCGCTAGACAATGATTTTGCTAAACAGCCATTTCAGTGAAACGGATTGTCATCGCCTTGCGAGGCACCACTGTACTGTGCCATGAACCTACGTAGAGGTTCAGGAGTGCCATGCTCCTCTTTTCCTAACTACTTTAGGACACAGGAGGGACAGGTGTGGAATGTTGAAACAGAACACCAAAAAATGTGTAGCAGATAGCATGGACATGTGTGGGGGCAACGGGTAGAGAGATAGTCACCTTTTCTCCCTCCTCTTCTTTTCTAAACCTATACACGGAGTGCTACTCTCAGGCACTCTTCCTTCCTTGTTCTTAATTTAGGGACAATGCCTCTTTCTTCTTGCTCCTCTATCAGCCAAGAAACAGTCTTGCAAGCTCAAAGGCCTGCTCCAGGTTTCTCTAACAAAGGTTACCCCCTCTTCTCTATATGATACATAACACGGATTTCATTACACAGTCTCTGGACTGATTCTTCCTTCTCCCCACATGCTCAACCAAGTCCTAGGCCATTGCGTTGCGCAAGCAAAACGCCAAATAATCATAGCATGGCAGAAATCAGTGTACCTCCTAGGAAACCTTTATATCCCTGGACATATTATTGCTCTCTAGAGAGCCAGTCTTATTTTCTCTGATCAGCAGCATGTGTCCAAACCTCTTCCCATCACTGGCTACCTGATCTTTTTAACTGGGGGGTGCTGGGAGCCAAAACTCAGACTCCCTGCAATGCAAAACAGGTGCTCTATCCTTCCAACTCTATTTCCTGAGCATGCAGAAAGATAACAGCCTCTCTGGCCATTAAAATAAATGACGTTCTCCATCTGATTCTGGATGGTAATTACTTGCCTGTCACTTCAAAAAAAAATCAGAAGGATAATCACCAAGCCAGACCTGCTAGGCAATGAATAATGGCCTTTTTGATTGCTGTTTGTTGTGATACAGCTCTCTATTGAAACCCGGCCATGTAATTGATAACTATTGATTTGTTGTGGGAGAAATGCTTATGAGCCGCTTGCCCTTTTGACCAGCTCTGACTGTTCAGCCTCCTGTCCTTCTTGAAACTGAATAAAAAACGTCCGAATGACTCAGAGGCAGAGGTTGGGAATGTTAGCTTTTCAGGACAACAGCTTCCAGAATCCCCCCCCCACACACACACACACACACCGCAAAGTAATGTTTCTAAGCTCTGCTCTGTACATACATGCATAGATGTGTGCATATGAATAAAGTCTCTGTGTGTTTGTAGTTTAGTTAAATCAATGGGCTATATGAGTAAGTGAATCTGTGTATGCATCTCTTTGTGTCAGAGGAAGCGAGCAAAAGCTGGATAGCCCAGTGGTTTAGGTCTCTGTCTGTGGAGCCAGAGGTTCGATGTTCAATTCCCCACTGTGTCTCCTGTGAGTAAAGCCAGCCTGTGTAGCCCCAGGCCAGCTGCACAGTCCCAGGAAATCACCCAGAAGAAGGGAATGGGAAACCACTTCTGAGTACTCTGTACCTTAAAAACCCTGGAAAGAATTGACTTGACAGCACATGAGGATGATAATCAAGTGAGCAAAGAGACTCAGTAGGCGAAGACAGAGCTTTTGAAGGGGTACCTTTTTGGGTTACAGCTTCCAAGAATCCTCCCCCCAGCCAACTATGGCCACTGGCTACACTGGCCGGAGGGGGTTGTGAGGGCGACCGTTCTCTCCTTCCTCCCACCTTCCCTTCCTGGCCTTTTCTCTTCCTTTCCGCCAGCAGGCTTCACGGAGAACGGTGGCAAGCAGTAGCAAGGAGAGGTGGAACCAGAGCGCGGAAGTAATTTGTTACAAATAATGCTACTTATAATCAAGTTATTTCCCTAGTATAATTGAGTATAATTAAATTATACAGCTATCATGGTCTTTTCCTGGCCCAGTGTGGGTGCAGGAGTCAATGGCATATGTATTTGTGTGGATGTGGAATGCACTGTTATTTTATGTGTGAGGTTGTGTGGAAAAGTGTGTCAGCACCAGGCAGTGTTGGGAAAGTTACTTGCTGGAACTAAAACTCCCTAGATTCCCCAACTAGCATGAGGGATGCTGGAAGATCTAGTCCAAACAAACAAACAAACAAGCAAAATAGATAGATAGATAGATAGATAGATAGATAGATAGATAGATAGATAGATAGATAGATAGATAGATAGATAGATAGATAGATAGATAGATAGATAGATAGATAGATAGATAGATAGAATTTTCTATACCAAACTACTTTTTAAATCCTGCAGTTACAGAGGTGGGCCATCAATGGCACCACTCAATGACCTTTAAAGCCTGCAGCACAATAACACACCCTTCTCGCTCTACAGGGAGAAGCATCAGGAGTTTGTGAAGAAAGAGCCTACCCAGGAGCAAGGGAGTGGAGCACAAAAAGGTATGACTCTTTCTCTTGGGTGGCCAGTCCCTGAACTGCTGAAATGGCGAGAGCACAAAAGGCTTCAGGATAACGGCCAGGGTCGTACATGTGACGGGAGCTGGCTTCCTACCGGAGTGCTTCCTTCTGCATGAAGCACTGCTCATGGCCCAGCCATCCGTGCTTCCTCTTTTTTTGGAAGGGTTTCTCACAGAGCCATCCCACATCGCCATAGATCTAGTGGATGTCAGTGGAGTACATTATTTGTACATTTGTTCCCGTTTATTAAAATATCCTTATCTTGCCCTTCATCTAGTTATCCAAAAATGCCAGCAAATTGGTCTTTTACTTCTCTTTTTACAAGCGGCAGATTGTCAGCATTCTATGATCAAACCTTTTTATCAAGCCTGTTGACATGTTTGTGAATGTTTTGTTGTGACATCATGGCAGCTTGGAGGCTGGAGGGTCGAAAAGCCAGCCACGGTGAGCTAGTCTAAGAGTGTATCTGGAAGAGAAACAGAAACCGGAAGCCTGTTCTGTTCTGCACATCCCCTCATCTTCCCGAAAGGTTATTCCTGTCCCCCATCTCCCAGTTTCGCAGGCTTATGGGGATCATACAAGGGTGGCATCTTCCGTTCTGTCCTCACATGGCAGGGAAGGCTTTGTATAGCCTTAATCAAGCATGAATGATCGCATCTCCTGGATGGATGACCAGGGCGCAGAGTGCTGGAAAGTAAAAAACGCCTCGAGCGAAAAGATTGGGGTGGGTGGGTGGTGATGGGAGCCTCTGCTTGTTAGAAGGATGAGTGTCCAGGAGGAGGGTGTCTTCTTTAATCTTGTGGTTGCCATAGGAGCCCAGTAGGAACTGTCTCTAGTGGGAACTCCAGGTGACAAACTCCATTGAGGTGTGGGATTTAGAGGGAGACCCTGTTCTCCCTCTACCGTCCTGTCATGCTGTACAGCCAAGGGAAATCTCCCCTCCTTTCCTCCAGCTAAGCTGACCTCGGGCCTTTTATCCTATTGAGTCAGTGCTGATGCCGTGCAGTGGTTAGAGCATTGGCCTGGGACTCAGGAGATCTAGGTTCTCCTCATGAAAGACAGCCTCAAAACTCAAGGCCTGTCACTTTCTCTCCCCGTGGTCAACCTGACAGGGTGGTGTGGAAGAGGAGAGTCGTGCATGCTTTTGTTGTGGTTGTTTAGTTGTTGTGTCCAACTCTTGGTGACCCCATGGATCAGAGCACGCCAGGCCCTCCTGTCTTCCTGTCAATGAGATGCATAATTAGCCTATGCATAGAGCTAAACAAGAATGGGATTTTTAGAAGGGAAGGACCTCCCATGATTCAGTGGGAAGTCCCCGGGCCAAATAAAGGGGCCTAAGAAACCTCATCGCCCTGGTGCCTTGGGAAAGGAGATTCTGATGGAAGCTGAACAGCACAGAGATGAGGGCACCACTCTTCTTCCCGCTGGTTTGAGGGCTCCCAGCCCCATCCTTCAATCTGAGGGCCTTCCCACTGAATTATGGGGCCAAGAGTAAATTAATCCCCAAAATCCCCCAAACCAAAAGTATTTTTATCTCATTTCTTTTATAATGTTAATACTTTAAAGCACAGAAATATTATCCTTTCACCAATATTCAACTTGTTGATTGGCCAGTTTTTAAAATTCATTATATTTTGGACTGGTTTGAATGCAACCTGGATTTTCGTCAAGGACTTCTTCCTGCCTGGCCAGAGGGGAAAGTCCAGAGAATTCTGTGTTTCCCCTTCTGACCACCTCAGGAAACAGTTGGTGCCCTTCTTGCAGATGGAAACAAGAAAAGCTTTGAAAATCAAATCTGTAAACCTGTCAGAATCACAGAGAGTAATGTAGGGGTGAGGTGAGGTGAGCTGGAGAACAAGCAATTGCACAGAGACTGCAACGACACAATGGGGGAAATACAGCTTCATCTGCTGTGGCCTGCAGTGTTTCAAATCGGGTTTCCGTGGATGAAATCTCTGGCGCTTTCCGGGTGTCACACAGTCTGCAGGAGTCAGCAGGGGCAGGGCGGGAGCAGAGAATTGTCTTTGCACAGGGCACCGACAGCAGAAGCTGCCTTTGACAAGGTGCTGACAAGGTGCTAACTGGCCATTTCTGTTGGAAATTTGTATAAAACTTTGCATGCTATCTGTAGTTTGAGTAACTCTGCCTCCCCCCGCCCCCAGTATTAAGGACCATAAATGATGTGTTTGGGTATTGTTATGAGTTACATAATGAATTACTTTTTTAAAAGCAACCTCTCAAGTTATGTGCCTTGACATGAACATGAGACAACAATATTTACTGTTCTGCCTCAGGCAGCAACATTTTCTGGACCAGAACCATCTGCCACAGCACTAGTCCAGGACATCTGTAAAATATTCATGATAAGGAGTGCCATTTTTAGTTTGGTTTAGGGTTGTGAGATGTAGGAGTGGTTGTGTTTTCTGTTTTCCATTTTCCCACAGTGTCCCAGGGGTGAAGTTATAAAGCAGTGGTTCCAACCTTGGGTCCCCAGATGTTCTTGGACTCAAACTCCCAGAAGCCTTCACCACCAGCTGCTCAGGCCAGGATTTCTGGGAATTTTAGGCCAAGAATATCTGGGGACTCATGGTTGGGAACCACTGCTATGAAGCAAGGGTGAGCAAAAGACAACCCCTTTTGAACGGCCCTTGGATGTCCCCACATTCGGGGTGGGGGGATGACACCAAGTGTATCTCACTCCTCCTGAAACTGTGCATTTAATCAGTAGATGGAGCTGGTACAGACCAAATGAGCCAATGAAATTTCGATTCTAAAATCTTGGTATGCATCACAAATATTGTTATCAATCCATATTGGCACACTATTACGGTGTGAAGCACAAAGACTATGTGAAGGATTCATATGGGGGGAAATGAATGCATATTCATTGGTACAACATTATCTGCCTGAATATAAAAATGAGCATTAGTTATAGACAGCTATGGTTGTTCTGAGCTTGTTTACAGATATTTTTTAATGCATAGCTCCTGAGGAAGGCTGTGTGCCAAAATGCATTGGGTATTTTTTTAAAAAGCAGAATAAAGATGATTTACATCTCTCTATACCCTGAGACCTAGTCTCTCATTTTGATTTCTGTTCCCATTGGATGTACTGGTTCTTTGTGTTTCTGCTTTTTGCCATTAAGCAGCGTGCTTCACACACACACACACCCCAAACTCAACCCTCCTGAACGTCAAAGTGGAGGTCCATCTTTAGCCATTTTCAGTTTTGATTTTTCATCTTACACACCCCCCCATCGTCTGAAGCTGCTCACTCTTGCTGTAAAGCCCTGTGGGAAACCCATAGCTATGACACCACATAGGAGCCCGGTTTGGGGGCCAGAGCTGTCCAGCAGGGGCTACACAAGGTTGGGTCCCTTCCCAGCAACTCTGCCCCCCCCCAAGTCGGCTTACATTGCTAGTTGACTTTTTATTTGGGGATACTCTCTCCATCCGCGCAGGTGGCAGCTGCCATTCTGGACAAAGTCAACACCTGGATCACAGCTTCTCCAAAGCAATGAATCATTTTCTGCTTATGTTTTTCCCCTTCCCTTGATTCTTATTCTTCTCTGCCCTCCCCCACAGGTTCAGATGCAAACAGCCAAAGGACAGCCATGGCTGCCCGCCTTTTAGAAGTCATCCAGGCCCTCGAGCAGGCTCATGATGCCTTTGAACACCAAGAAGAAGAGGAAGAAGAAGAGAAGGCTCAGATCAGCATCACGCCCCCACCTTAGGCGGCTTCCTGCATCCATTTGACACCCCTCCCCGTGGTGTTTTCTTCATATTGTCATGGATGTGATCTGTCAGGGCATGGTGGGTTAAGAGCCGGGATCTGTCCCCTTGTGTTTTGACGAGTTGTGTGGCTTTGCAGATTGTAGCAGACGGTGGCCATGCTCGGCCCTTGGCTTTCGAAGGACGGAGAGACTGTGGCACAAATGGCAGGCGCCTTTCGTCTCTTGGTGGCCACGTCCAGCTGACGTCTAGCTTGGATCTGCCATTAGAAGACATTCCAGGAGAAAAGGAAGTGTATCTTCATGGACCATGCTCTTCTTAAGCCCAGAGTGCATTCCGTGTGTATCTCTGTGTGTGTGTGTGCTTGTGTGTTCAAATTTGTAGGCGTGCAGATACCTGGCACCGGGCATTGTGAGAATCTCAGCTTCCTTGAAAAAGAAAAAAATAGTATATTTCCAGTCTTCATGGGTGTAAAGCTGAGGAGGATAACTCCTGAACCCTCAAATGCCAGACTAGTAGCTGTATAAAATTTGTGACGGGCACAGAGTGAAAGTTCGGCGCCCTTCATTGGCACCTTTGCCCTTTTCCATGGTGACAAAATGGTGCCAAGCAGTTTGCCTTATGTGAGATGAGAGAAACTGTATCCACCGTGCATACTTTTCCAGACATCGCTGGATTTGGATGCTCACGCAACAGAGCCTGGATTTTCTGGAGGTGGGACTTTGATATTTTTTTTCCTCCTTTCTTTTTTTTCCAGCATGGAATGTGTGCTTCTCCCCATTGCCAATTTCGAGAGCGCCACCTTCTGTCTTGCCCCACTGGCCGTGACACAGAAAGACCATCCCACGTCAGAGCGCAGTCAAGAGTAGAGATTAGAATCTGGGCTAGTTCTGAACACACAGTGGAGCAGCTGCGTCTGCTTATCTGCCTGGCCCTTGTGCCGTGGACGGACAAAGTGCCACTGCAGCCTGCTTTGAGACTCGGGTGCTAATGACCGGGACACCATCACCACCAACACCGGGCAGTTGCTTCTAATAGGAGATGTTGTGGTCCACCAGGGCCGTTCTCCTGTCTTTTCCTCCTGAGCACCCCTGTGTTCCTTTCTCCTTGAGTACAGAGCAATGAAATGCAATATAACCAGTGGTAGCACAGCAGGGTTGATTTGGGGGCTTGTATCCCCCAAAATCTAGTGTTTCTGACCTCTGGTCCTCTGTAGCCCAAATTGGCCTCAATTGGTGGTGAGTGCTTCCATTCAGCCCTGTCTCAGTGAAAGGCGTACAGAAGATTGTAGGTGTGACAAACCCAGACCTACTGGGATATGCCACACGTTAACTAAGCTGCCACCAACCATTCCCTATAAGAAGTCACACAGACCAGGGATGGA